GTTGTGATGGGCCCCAGAATTTAGGTTCCTACCCTGTTGGGCTTTTTTTTTTTTTTTTTTTTTTTTTTTTTTTTTTTTTACACAGTTGAAAAGTTCTTTAAAAGGCAAGAGTGAATGTCTGTGGATTTTACTGGTGCCAGCTTTCAGTTTCTTTAAGACACTAACCGGACTGGCTGCATAGAGGCTTTTTCTGCATTATTGTGTGTCTTCTGTCAGTTGGAGGTAACATCTGGAAGCCATTAGAATTCTAGGGAAGGTATTTTGCACTGTAACGTGCAGATGGTGGCATTTTTCATTTTTTATAATTGTTTAAACAATTTTATACCAGTGTTTAAAATTGGGCGTTCAGCTTGAAGTTACAGGTTTCATTGGAACAGTTCTTATAATGGTTTTGCTGTAAAACAGAACGAAAACCAAAACTGCTGAGGGATGGTGCTGGTAACGGTTCACAATCCGTGGCTGCTCATTCTTGCCTTCTCTTTACTTTCCCTCCAAGCAGGTGAGCATCGAAGGTGGCGTTGAAGAGCCTGCATGTGTGTTGAGTATCTTTCTCTCCCTTTCCCTGCCCTCTTCGCTAGCTCAACCTCTTTTGTTCAGTATGTGTAACTTGAAGCTAATTTGTACTACTGGATATCTGACTGGAGCCACAGATACAGGATCTGTATTGTTCTTACTGAAACACAGCATGGAATTAACATTAAACTTAAATAAAACAACCCTAAATTAAAATGATGCCAAATACTACTGCTACTTTACCCTGGTCCCTATTCAGCAAGAGGTGCAGGCAGAACAAGTAGCAGGAAAAGTACCGTTTATGGAGAGTTGGTGGCTGTAATTTCATTAGATGGCCTCAGCCAGCATTTGTGAATCTAAATTTGTGACTGGATGCAGAGCACCATCTTCCACCCTGAAGATAGTACCTGCTTCACAATGGCAACTTGAGGCGATGCTTCCATCCTGTAAGCAGATAACTGGGTCAGGTTGAGCTAGAGCGCCTCTTTGAAAATCGAGCCGTATCCCCTCTCTCCCCCTCCCTCCCTCTTCCTTTCTCTCGCCCTCTGATTTTCTTAGCGGCTGCTTTCTTCCAGTGTTCATCTCAACTTATACCATGTTCATTTCTTTTGGCCACGGGTTGGCAAACATTGGAAGGATTGTGTGGAAATTTTACATACACTCAGAAACATTTTCCTTCAGTGCTTTGGCTCTTTTTTTTTTTCTGTGAATGCCTTATCACATACCTCTGGTCTGACCTGTATCCTTGCCTTTTAGTTTCATTTGGGATTCCCCTTTGGACTGAGCAGCAAGTCTGTTGGATAAATAAAATACTGTGTAAAGATTCTGCACCTTGGCGCCCTCTCTGCAAAAGCCTTTCAAAAGTGGGAAATCTTTCAGTTGTAATCCAGCATCGAGCAAGCCTTTCACCTCTTGCCAGAGCGCCATTGGGAGTGCTCAGAGCGTGCCCTGAGTGCTGCTGGAGAGCAGTTACAAAATACGCATGTGTAAGAAGGCAGTTTCCCTGCTCCTATGGAAGCTACACACACATGGGTTTGGCCGTGTTAAATTGGCAGGCACCTTCCTTAGGCTAGAAGTTTCCTGGAAAACTGCTGTCACTGGAGACTCTTGTTTTACGGCATACTGACTTCCAAGATACTGTTTCTTAATCCCTGGTTTTACCAAATGCAAAAACACCATCGGGTGGGGCAGGGAGGTGGGGATGCGCAGCCTCTGCGTGCGCTGTAGTGCGCACCCTCTTCCCCTCTCACTTGGAGCACGAGAAGCCTTCCAGATTTGCAGAGCTGCTTATTTTCCACCATTGGCCCTGCTCTTACAACCAGAATTGATACAGCCAGACCGTAGATTAGCTGGCTCGCCCTGCAGTGATTCCAAATAGTAATAAGGCCTAGTGGTTCTGTGACCAAGTGGGTGATCCTGGACACAGCCCATTTTGGGCAGCCCTGGCAGTGGGAGTGTGTTGCCAAGGGCAAGGTGGGGGCCTGTTGAAGGCTCTGCTCCGTGTAGGCTGCTCTTGCTGTGTCTGGGGAGCGTGAGCCAAGGAAGCAGCTTCACATGAACGGATTTCCCGGAGCTTATACCCAGCAGCTTGAACGGCTGTAAGATTTCTTTCTCTTGCCCTTTCTGTTGGGCAGGGCAGGGCAGAGAGACCAGTTGAAACTTAGGAGCACAGCTCTTCTTTCAAGTGGCTGAATGGGTGACTGAGTCAAGCTGTAGGCTTGTTGAGGTCACGTAGACTTCCAGAACCAGAGGGCAGGAGCAGAAAAGGGCAGGAGGCTAAATGTGCAGCTCCATAGTTGGGAGGCTTGACTCAAGCCAGGCAGGTGCCAACTGAGCCGTTGCTGCTCCTTCTGATCATAGCCATCTCCCAGTTGCAAAAGTGCACATGCACATGCTGGACCTGTTTACGGGCTATCCACTTAAAAGTCTAGCCCCAGTCAGTGGGCTGCCAGTGGGGCAGAGAGGAAGTGGCAGGCTGGAAGGAGGGGCACCTCTGTTCATGCAAAGTGGCTGCTTGTGAACCCTGTCCCTTCACAAAGTGTCACCCATGACAAATCTGCAGTTGACCAGAATGCTACTTTTTGCTTTATTTAGTGTCTTCCCCCACTTCTGGTCATTTGTTTAACATCATGAGGTATCAAGGGAAGTGCCCCGCGAATAATGGCAAGCCTAGGCATTCTGCAGCAGCCATGGCTCATAGGAGATGGGATGGAGGGAACTGGCTGTAATTGTGGGTCAGTGGATGATTTCTTGGCCTGCATTTCTTCATGCTTAAGTCCCAAGGTTGCAGAGGAATTCAGATTCAAGAGTACAATAGGATCCAGAGCGTGCAGAAGTGCAAGCAGCTTATCTGCAACACCAGTCCTGTTGCTTCTTGGCACTCATGTGGCTGCCCTCTGCAGCAGCTGCGAGAAAGATGTTAAGGAGCTTCAGACAGATGCTAAGTTTGCGCCTGTGTGCTCCAAAAGATTGCACAGCTTGAGTGGGCCAATTAAGGACACAATAACTCTTTGCATAACATGAAGCTTTAGTAATTTATTATGGTGGGCTTTGAGGGTACAGGCAGCTTGGTATGTGGTGCCGTCCAGCCTGTGGCATTAGTTTATGGTTCACTGTATTACGTGGGCCTAAAAATGGTTAAATGAGTAGCATGTGAAATAACTAAATCTGGTATCAAGAGAAGAACACTTGCCTGTTTCCTGAACTCTTTAATGTCAGTTTAAATTTAGAATTCATTATGAAGTTGGAAGGAAAGAAAAAAGGACAACCAGCAGCAAGGTGGATGGGTTCTAGCTATGATGGCAATGGGTGCACCATTAGAAGACCTGGGAAGCCAGGTTAGGGACAGATCATCATGGAGAAAATCTACATGGTTGCTGAGAGTTGGCAATGGCTTGATGGCATGTAATCAATTATAGTATGAGAGTAATCAAGACATGGTCCTGCTTGCACAACTAAGCATATCATTGTTTTCCACTGCTAGTGCCTTAAGTAGATCCTTGGCAATAACTGGCTCATGCTTGTGCAAGTTTGCTTCTTCAGACCAATCTGGAAAAAAAGCATGGTAAGATATGGCCATTGGCAACTCAACGCCACTTTGGAAAACCTCAACATATGCGAATTTCACCCAGTCTTTCCAAGTTTTTTGCATCTGTCAGCCAGTTGCCAGCTCAGGTTGCCCTCCTGTAAAGTATCAGGCCGCCTTCCTTCCTTGTTCTCCATCTTGCAGCTGTCCCCAGACACTGTTGGGGGTGGGGCACACCAGTCTCCCAGCACTGGGCTCTTCAGGGCGTCAATCCTGTCCTGCAGTCCTTACTACGGAAGAGGAGGAGGATGGGAGCGAGTTTAAATAAGGCCCGACTAAGGCAGTATGCGTCAACTATGATGTAATTTGCAGAATTCCAGCTTGGTTAACAAACCAAAGAAACTAAGGATTTTAGTAAAAATTTATTTGGCATATATATCTTGATTCATATCGCACACTGCACAGAGCCTTAAATCTTATGTACACTATAGCATAGACCCTATTTTAGAAATGACACAGCATTTGTCACCAGGTAGGAAAGAAAAATTCAATGTTTGAACCTGGGTAGCTGTATATTAAGCATACATACAAACAAATCCTTTATGGAACAGAAAATGATACTGATTCTATGTGAGTAATGCAAAAAGCAGCTTATTTCAGATCAACAGGCGTAACCACTGAAGCAGCTTGTTCCCAAATCTTTGTCCTGAAAATGCTTCTTTGCAATTAAAAAACATGAGTTCAATCAGGGTAGTTTTCAGTGGACAAATAAACCAACTTGGCTCCTTGAACAGCTGAATTCCCAAGAAAAGCTAGAATAAAGCAAGCTGAATAAGTTGATTAAAAATTTAAAAATTCTGAATCTGGCAAAAAAGCCCAGTGTTTAAAAGATAGCTTGCAAATGCAGCAATAATCACTAAACAGTTTTCATGAAAGGTGATCAAACTCTAGATATTGCCTGTCTGTACGACATAGTGGACAACAAACTGGTTGGCATAAATTTTGGGGCTAGGTCAGTGTCATGTCACATGAAAATGGAAAATGTGTTGAAGAAGCCACAGTTAAAAGGTAACAAGGCAGCCTTAGTGTCTTACTAGCTATGCATTTTTTTTAAAAATCCCAAATATTTAGAACTTCACAATCTGAAGATTGTACCACTTTTGAAGCCACCATAAAGTTTTCAAAAATGCATTTCAGTACTTTCTGAGGTCTTACTGTTTTTTGCTTGTCATTCCATGGCAATCTCCCTGCAAAGGCTAGTGACCGTGAATATTTTGTTGAAGGCTGTAATAGCGAACCCATCTTTTATAGGGTCGGTTTGTGGAGAAGATATTGCTGAAATCCCTTTGGCTGAATCAAAGTGCAGATAGACGTAATCCATCCAAACCAGCAATTGCCACGTCTTGGAAAATTTCCAGGAGAAGAAAGGGGGAGGATATAGAAAGGCCAAGAAGGATGGTATTTCTTGGATTATCACAATTTCTCCAATTAGAAATAAGAAAATAATTTCCATAGTGCAAACATCCCATACAAGGAGGAAATATTTACAAAATTTCATCTGTACATTATGGCTTGTTATATTTTCATACAAAGCACCCAAAAACCTAGGAGAGGATTTCTTTATAAAATATTTTAGTATAAAATTTGGCATTTCACTGGGATGGGCTGACAACTCTGCAGGTTGCCTTATTATTTTTTGTGGTCACTATGGCCACCAGTCAAACTGAATTGAGTGGGAGTAGGATGAAAACCATGGACAGAACTAAAGGAGGGTTCTTTGGAAGTGCAAGTCATAGGTAGCCAGAGAGAACAGAGGCAAAGCAAGGCCCCTCCCCTGATAAAGGGGCAAAGGAAAATATCCGGCCAAGCTACTGAATTAGCCAACAGAGGAAGAGGACCCTTGTGGAGAAGTGCCCATCATCATCGAGAATTCAAACGAGGAGCCACCTGAAGTGGAGACAAAAGCCGAAAGAGGTGCGGTGGGTTCTCCAATCCCGCTCCCCCCTCAGAAGGCAGCCCAGCTCCTTGGTGCCCGGCCTGGGGGAGAAGGTGGCTGCCTTCAGCTTCGGCAAGCAAAGGGTTACTTACGACTGCCAGGTGGCCATTCTTGGCTTTGGCTATCAGCAGCTCAGACCCCGACGTGAAGTCGATGATGCCTTCCTTGCCTTGTCCAATGGTGAATTTGATGCTGGGGAAGCAGGGAGAGTTGGGGTTTATTAGGGCACTTCAGCTCCAGTTCCAGGGAGAAAAGTTCTCAGGTGCAACCACAGGAGAGCGTAGTTCTGCTGGACCTGGCCTCCGTAGAGCCACTGCAGCTCACCGACAGAATTTAACGTTTCGATCAAAGGCAAAACAGAATTCCCACCTATTTGCCCTGTTCTTAGCAATCTGCAACCATATAAGTTAGGCCACTGTAATCTCAGTATGTAGGCTGGCTTTTTGACATTACTGTCGTGAATTTGTAGCTGGTCTAAGATTTTCATAAAGCCTTTTATTCTCAGCAGCTTAAAACAATTCATTTCTGAGCACAATGAAATAAAAACCTAATCTCTAGCTGCTTTATGAGAGCTTTGGTTCACTGTGCTTACGCTTGTGCCCCTTCTGTCTTCCCTGGAACCAACCATGGTTCTGCCTAAGAGGTCTGGAAGCGGAAGCTCTGTTGCCCTTGCCCTAACCCTAACCCTGGGAGTCCCAGTGCAAGAGCAACAGGGCTTCCGCTTCCAGACCGCAGGAAGGACCTTGAGCTGAATTGGGTTCCCTACCTGTCTGAAGAACACGTTTCACCAGGACTAACTTGTTCATGGCAGAAGACGCTGTGAACGGCTAACCCAAATGCAGCCGCCACCACCGAATCGGATTCATGAAGAAAACCTGTTTAAACTCACCTGCCCTGGTTGATATTAACACTGTTGACTTTATTGGCACTTATGGCAATTTTAGTCAGTGTTTCGATCACAAAATCACTCTGCAGCACAACATCTCCCTGAAGGAACAAAGGACCAAGAAAAGGGTTTTTAAGTGTTGCTGGTATGGCTAGAAGACAGGTAAGGGGGGTGCTCTTAGGCACATCATTTCTCAAATGCGACACAAGCCCACCCCTCTCCAGGCTCTGTCATGACTCCCGTGTGCGCTGAGCAGCTACCTTCTGCTTGTTGTCCTGCCGAAGTACATGAAGCACAAAAAGATTGTCACTCAGGCTGCTGACTGAGATGCCTGAAAGACCAGAAAGGGATGTCTGAAAAGCTGGACAGCACATGCCCTCTCTGCTTCCTTCCCCAGAGAGCAAGACCAGTCCCTGCCACAGCTTTCCTACAAGTCACGTGGCTTTGCCAAGAAAAGGTCTGGTTGGGATCTTCTTCCTTGATTTTTTCTCCCTTAATAAGCTGTGGACATGCTGTGGAGCCAGCGTATCTTGACTTCAGGAAAGCCTTTGACAAAGAGCTTCACACTACTCCAAGAGCAAGCTAGTGAAGTATGTCAATTAGGAGGATTCACAGCTAGCCTGAAAGCTGCGCTTCCAGCCCATCACACAGTTGACCCGGTCAAATCTGACAGCACCGTATCACATTAATGGGCACAAAGTCTCCATTCTGGAGTATGGCATTGCACCCTTGTGCGGCACCAGCTCTTGCTCTAGCGGCCCTGCTGGCAAGGCTTCACGGCATCGCTGTCCCCTTCCCCACTGGCCGAGGTGGGGGGCGTGGCATGGCGCCTGCAGCCAATCGGCATTTGGGAGGTCCGTTTGCCACTGGCGGCCTCAGCAGTAAGTTCCGTAAGAAAAAGGCTGCTTGTTCAGCTGCTCTTTCCCTCCGGCTCTTTCGCTAGGAGGACCAGGAGTGCTGAAGGGGCCAGTGAATGGGTTTGGGTGTTCCCACCTTATGACGGACTGGGTGGACTGAATTTAACCCTGTGCGGTGCCGGGACCATTTGGGGCTAAATGTAAAAACAACCAAGGGCTTAACGTGGGGGATCACTAACCCCTCTTGTTCCAGTTAAGCCTGCTGGGGGAATAGCCAATGGTTCCTCAGCAAACTGGAATGGGGTATAAGTTGTGGACTCTCTTTCATAGGATGTCTGGATGAGTCCTGAATTGAGCTGGTGCCAGAGTCTAGGATTCCCTAATTCTAAGAATTCTAATTCTATGGAGAGACAAAAGCATTTGTTCCCATACCTGCATCTCTAACCCAAACTCAGACCAGATACCCAATTTTCTAAGGAGTGAGAGGGAAGGAATCTTGCTCCAAAATGGTGTTCTAGCTTTCCATGCCAGTAAATGCTCCACCATCCCCTTCATACCTGTGAGGTTGCCATAGTCAATCTGCTGCTTAATTTTGGACTCTTCAACCAACACAGCTGCATCCTGGGTGAGCAGCAGCTGCCGGGCGCGGGCCTTGTAGCCTTTCCGGTCATACTTGATCACAGGAACGGCGTACTAAAAGGCAAAATCGTAAAAAGCAAAATAGCATTTTTCATGGGCCTTAAGCTGCCAACAGTGTTTTCTAAATGGTATACAGTTTGTACCCCAAGATAATCAAGAACCTTGGCCATCTCAAAGATTTATCAAATGTTAGAAGATGAATAGGTGTAATTAAGTCCTGTGGTGCCCAGGAAACTGAAACATCTCTCTAAAGTGCTTGCATTTGTACACAGGACTAACAAACATTAGAAAAAGCAATAAACATTAAAACAAAAAACAAAGCAAAGAACCACAGGTGCAATTCTACTCTAGGGTCTTCAAGGCAGTCATGCTTAAGCAAAAGAGTAATCCCATCCTAACTTGGAATCTATTCAAAAGTTCAATTTCCCTGCTCATGGATCTAACAGGTTTATATATGGTAATCAGTTTACCAATGCAAGAAAGGCTGTGTCATAAGTAACCACTGTTTTGAGAATGGCCACTGTCTGCACCTTCTGCATTTCATTTCCCCTGGATTTCGCTGTTTAATATTCTTCCTCTACCTACAAATCCCCAACTCGACTATGTGTGTATACATGCTCTGATATCAGAATAATACAAAGAAGTGGACTATATTTTACAAAATGGTACGCATTGCTAATCTTTAAGATGATACCAACTAATAGGATTATCTTTCTGGACACTTGTTCTTTCTTGCTTGTCCAAAAAAGCCACCCTAGGTATCTGCCACACAGCACCAGCAACTGCACTGGTGAGGTTTCATGGCACCACTGTCCCCTTCCCCATTGACGAGAGGGAGGGATCGAGTGGGTGGGACTCACCTTGAGCGCCTCGTTCCCCAGTACCTGAAGGATTTTGGCATTTATCTCTTCATTACCTGTCATCCCCCACCCAAGGGGGAAAAAAGGGAAAGAAAAAGAAAGAAGTTAGGGGTGGCTTATTAGAAGAGTGAAACATGGCCAGATTAAACAGCACTCACCGAGACGGGTATTGAGGAAAAGCCTGGGAACACTCTGTGGGTAATTGTCCTTTTTCTCCTTAAATATCTCACTGGCCACCACCTTCTGCTCGAGCTGCAGAGGAATTGGACAATGACAAAAGAACCAGGGTCAATAGGCCAGAGACAAAAAGCTGGCCATTCAGGCAAAGGGGGCGACCAACAGTCTCCATTTTTCTCTTTGGAGATCCGTTACAGGCCACAGCCCTGGGTTCCTTCAGGAGATACCCTTTGCTTCCATCAGAGTTAAAACACTGTGCTGTGGTTCAAGAGTTCCAGTAACCATCCACCAAATTCACTACATAGCTGATGGCCCTCTACCCACAAAGCTGCCAGTCAGAATGGTGAAACAGCCCCCCATCCCCACCCCCACCTGATCCTGGAGAAAAGCATCTTGGCCACCCACCTGCATTTTCCACTCTGGACTGATTCTTTTGCAGTAACTCCAAACCATGTTCTGCATACAGAGTTCTCTCAACAGCTGGGAAGCCTGAAGAAGAAGGGAGGCAGCTGAGGCAGGACCATCAAGGGACCCAAGAATCTGGGGTGGGGGCAGAAGAGGGCCTTGCTTTGCCAGAAAAGCTCCTCCATCTTCACCCTGGTGCTCCCATGGGCACCCTCCACATGAGAAGTATCTCAGTTTGCAGTCTTCAAGTGAGCAATACCACGTGCTGTGGACTTACATTTTTTACTCTGCCAGAAGGTATCCTGGTGCCCTCCTGCTACATTCCATGCATTAAATGCAGCCTTAGTTTACCATGGTTTGCTTGCACACTCACAGGAAAAAGCTTCTTTAGCCACAATAATTCTGACACAGCAAGACCTTTAGTCATTCTTACACTTTCATGCATCTGGCGGGAACAAGAAACTTCTAAAGGCAGAATTTGCTAAGATGCGGGTGTGGTCTTTGGCACCTACCTCTCTCAGGGATGGTGGAGGCACCGGCCAGGACTTATCCAGGACAGTCTTTGGCAGATTGCGCTTCAGGTTCATCAGGAAAGAATAACGGATGTAGTCGAGGAAGTATTCATTCTCAGGGCAGCGGGAGTAATTTCGGTAAATGAAACCTTTGATGAACCTGTTGGCAGAGACACGCAAGGGTTACTCAAGAAAGTTGTTGCCCTCCACTCCAGGATTCATTACTTCAAACTCATGGGGACAATGATGCCCCCCCCACAGGTATGTCGGACAGAGGGAACCGCAAACACTGAGCAGACAAGTCTCTGTGGGGAAGCAGCAGCACAGCCCAGTGTCAGGGCCGTCTAGGCAGATGCACAAGCAGCCCCAGCTGCCCTCTTTTTTGCCTCCTCCTGCAACCGTGGATGGTTATGAGCTCCTTTGGATTTGGGGTAGTAAAACAAAACAGGTATATCGGCTATAAAACATGCTCAAGACACCCTCTCCAGAATTCTGCATCCCCCAACACTCCCCTCGAACAGGGCAGGGTCTCCAGCAACTGAAAGATGGCCCACCCCTAGAGCAAAGCTGCAACTTTTACACACCGCCGAATTATCTCTACTGCCCATTTCTTCTTGGCAGCCTTCCGGCGTCCCAGAGTCCCACGCCACCAAGCTTGGATAGTGATGGCTGCATAAAAGGAAAAGGAAGAAATTCTAAGGGCTGGCCACGCAGACCCTCCGGTCCATTTGCACCTGCTTCCAATTCACCATTTTATCTTTCTCGAAATAACCCTCTGCACCCCATCTAGGAGGAGATCTCCAGTACTTCATGATGCCTACCCCAGCTGACGTTTCAAAGGCAAAGTTGTACATAACATACAGTTGCAATGCATCCCACAAGTTATTTGAAGGGCTGTCTTTCTACCTGAATGCTTCATTTGATGGAATTTCTTTCGCCGATAGAAGCCTCTCCAAGCTGCTTGGATCTTTGTGGCTTAAATTGGGGGGGGAAAGATGGGGGTTAAAGCCAGGCAAACAGCAGAGGGTGAGTCAACTTGACTTACATACTTAGGTATCTGACAGACATACCTAGGCTCTGCTTCCGGATTTCCAGGGCTTCTTCTGTCGCAAACAGGGTCTTGGGAAAACGAATAAATATTTTGGTCCTGGAAATAAATGCATCTATGAAAGAGAGAAGAGTCCCCCGCTATTTCCAGAGACCGAAACCAATTCCCATTTTCAAACAATTACCTGCCCAACTTGTATTCTTCCTGCTTAAAGCCAAGGTGTCTTAGGAGGACTGCCACTCCATCCTGAGGCCTCCCTTCCCAGGTAGGCCATGTTTCAGGACACAGAGATTTGTACCTTGTCAGAGAGGAGAAACCAGGCGGTTCACGGGATGCAGAAGAGTGAGAGAGAGAGCCTCATCTTCAAGAAGAGGCATGCTAATAATGTGGCCACCTCTTGCCTAGCAGCCACATAAGAGGCTAGGGCTTGCAGCTTTGGCACAAGAGAATGTAGGAAGAGATGCCAGCACAGAGGCTTGGCATCCAACAAAGGGCTCTTCATTCCCCACTGGGATCTACCCACCCATTTGTGCCTTCTGAATAACTTCCTACTTAAATATCCACATCCTGGGAGCACAGCCTGGGCACTTGCCTTCTCACCGTACCTTTGCAGAAAAATCTCATATTTCCGCCGATAAGCAAAACCAGCCCTGCGCACTCTCAGGTTCTCCATCAAGCCCAAGTATTTCACTTGGTGCCGAATCAGAACTTCATCAAAATGGCCTGGAAGAGCATGGAGTCATCCCTTGAGTCTAGAGCCCGTGCCCAGGCACCAGTTAAAGACGAACAGCCGCCCTTCCCCTCCACCAAGCTAGGACAACTGGCTGGGCAGCTAAGCCCCAATCTCAGCCCGGTACACGTATGCTTTAGGCCTGGTGGGCAAAGAGCCCTTGAGGAGCCAGCCACCACAAACAAAGGAGATGAGAACCAGGACAGGGATCCCAACAGCAAAGAGAGGCATCGCGCAGCCTGTGCTTCTAACCCAGCCAGGAGCCCGTCTCCACGGAGGAGCTGTCCATCCTCAGCCTGGGTGCAGACCTCCCTCAGAGAGTCCGGCAGGGGGAGAAAGGGCAGGGCACGGAGGCCCTGCTGGCTAGGAAGAGGCTCCGGCTTACCAGCCTGTTTGGCGTGATTCGGCTTGATGCAGCGGATGTAGGAGGGCTCCTTGGACATCAGGATCTCCATCAGCTTTGAGAGACTGTTCTTAAATTGGGTCACTGCCTGCAAGACGAGAGGGGTTGGAGACGACATAAGTCAGGCACCACCATCAGGAGAGCCACGAGGACCCAGAGCCCCTGCGGCTGAGGCCTTACCGTCTCGGGCCTCTTCTTGTCGGTCAGCTCTGCCCTGTCAAAGCACTGGGTGATGATGGGATTCTCCGAGTTGCACATCGCCTGGAAGCGCAGCAAACAAAACCACAACGGTTGCATCTTTCTGGGGCTTTGTGGGAAGCCTGACCCAGGGAAGAGGGCTATGCACGCCCAGCCGGGGGGCCCCCAGGCTCACCTCCTTGAGGTTCCGGAAGAGCAGATCATTGTTCTTATCCAAGAAACCTGGGGAGGAAGGTCAGAAACCCTCACCATGAGCAGTGGGGAAGCGGACTCCTGGACACGGGCCAGGCAAGGACCGCGCGCAGCCCCATGGCACTGCAGGAAGGCTGACCTGTGACGCTGTAAGTGACTTCCCCGGCGTAGTGCAAGAGGCGGAATTCTTCCCGGCCCAAGGACTTCCGGGTCTTAGCATCGGCCAGCTTGTGGCTGTGGAGGAATCACAGTGAGAGGGTCGCGATCGTATCCGCAGCTTGGCCAGGCTGGCTCAGCCAAGGACTCGGGGAGGGTGGAGGAAATACTGTGGCAAAACCAGGGGGCGGGGGAGCTCGGTCACAGAGCCAACAGGGTCACCTTAACGCCAAAGGGTTTGGTCCTATTGCTTTCAGGAACGCCGTCTGTAGAGCAAAGCCACAACGAGGCTACCTCAATTACAAGCAGCCAGCCAAGATTTAATCAAACTGACGAAGTGTGGCAACATCGTGATACGCGTTCCACTCCTTATATTCTTGCGTGCAATGTCACAATGCTTCGTCTTTGTGTCCCCCTCCCCCCATGAAAAGAAGACTTGGTTCTGCCATTTGACCTGGGGGTCAGACAGCGGTGGTGCGGAGCCTACAGAACGGCTGTACCATTCCTGAACTGACCGTGCTCTCCTACTGATTGCCTTGCGCGGCTTTTAAACTGTTCTAATGTTTTCAATGCCTGCATGGTTATTTTGCCTTTTGCTTTCAGGGGCACTGTTTATGCTTTAACTTTGTAAGCTGCCCAGAGTCACGTGTGGGAGATGGACAGCCCAAGCCGTCAAATCCATCTATAACAGCCAACCGCAGAAGGCTCCGTCTCTCCCATCCCATCGGTCTGAAAGCGGCGCCTCCTCCTCGGGCGGTTCCAGCGGACTCACGTGAGGAAGTGGGGGTGGTTCTTAATGGTCCCCTCGAGCTTCTCCAGAAACGTCGCGTCTGTGGCGTCTCCAGGTCGCAGGCACTCCTCATCCTGCAGAGGAAACCAAGTCCGGCGCGTGACGAGGAAGAGGAGGATCCAAATGCCGCTCGCCACTGCCGTTCCCTCGGCTGCTTGGCACGTGAGCGGCCCATGTTGGGGGAAGGCCAGGAAGGGGACGGCTCTCCGCAAGGGCCCCACGGCCCCCCACAAGCATGCCCCGCAGCTCTGGCAGCCACCAATCACTGGCTCGGAACCAGTCCTGGAGCTCTGTGGCACAACCCTCTCTTTGCGGGCACGTGCTGTCTCCAGCTGGAAAGGGCCGGGCAGCCACGGGAGGGCCGGATTTCGTCCATGCCATCTCCTCTGGGCTAGGCGGGTGTCACTCAGAAATGCTCCTCCAGTAGGTGGGGCCAGAGCGGTCAGGCTGCCCTCCTCCTTCTCGGGGGACTTACCAAAATGGAGATGATGCCTTTGAATTTTTCTTCCACTAAGTCGCAGATGATCTTGTTATTGAAGTATTGAACCGGCTCCCACTGGGAGAGAAAAGGAAACAGATACGATTCACTCTATCTGGGTGTTCAAAGGGCCAGCCCCAGCCCCAGCCCACCCCAGCTCTCCCATCCATCTCTTTCACGCATCTCTTTGCAGGCGAGATCTGGGAGCACCCTAAAAGCCCTCCAACAACCCCTGAAACCCAAAGCGGGGGGAAAGCGCCAGCCCAGCGGCAGCCGCTGCAGCTCAGCATCCTTGCAACAGCTCTGCCGCCTCAGGGGCGCGGCCCAGGGCAGAGCCAAGCCGCCCCATTTCCCACACCTCCCCACTTGGGAACACCCCAGGAGGTGGGGGAGCCCCAGCCAGCGCTCACCGCAATGCCTTCCGCTTCATACTCCTCTTGCTCGGACTTCAGGGTGAGCTCTATGAAGAGCTGTTGCAGTTTCTCATTGCAGTAATTGATGCAGAACTGCTCAAAGCTGTAACAGAGCAGAGAGATCACACCAGGGAGGCAGAGGCCAGGCAGCCAAGCCTTGGCCATGGAGAGGGGCCTCCTGGTCACCCCCCCTCGTCCTTACACAGGCATGCTGTGGCAGCAGAGTGGCTGGCACTTGTGCCAGCTCTGCCAACCTGGGGCAGCTCCTGGAGGCACCCCTGACCCCCATGCAACACAAGATCCTTGGAAAGGCTTTCCTGAAACGCAGCTGCACATCTCCACCACACAGAGTGCCAAGGCTTTGCTTTGGGGTGGGGTGGGGGTCTGTGGACCCCGCGAAGCTGTGATGAAGCATTGATCAAGCGTGAAAACAACCCTGGTTTGTCAGGCAAAGCCTTGGATGGGCAGTCAGGCTGCCAATGGTTAACTTAAAATTCCCAGCTAATGGGGAAACCAGCAGCCCAAAGGAAACTCACCTGTTGTGCTGGAAAACCTCAAAGCCGTAGATGTCCAGCAGTCCCAGCACAGTCAAACTCCTTCTCCAACCCATGTACTCTGTTTCCTATTAAGTAGGACGGAGAACAACAATGGGGAAGGGAGGCAGGACCCCTTACCCTTGTGGAATACTAGGGATCTGGCCTCCCTCTGAGAGATGAAGGGTACCACCTCACCTTCTGTCTACAGGGTGGATCCTCCCGCAGGGGAGACCTTCTGTGGGAGGGACTTCCTTTCTCACCCCCTGACCATGTGTGGTCTGGAAAAAAAGACTTTCTCCAAGACCAGCACAAGTACACAAGGCAGGGAGGCACCCACTGAATCAGGGCCCTGGACCTAGCGACATCTCTTCCCCTCTCCAGTGGAACATGCCACAAAAATTCAGATTTTCCCAGAAGACCGTGCTGCAGGACATCAGCTGGCCTATCTAAGAGTGATGCTATAGCATGCCCCAAAGCGGGTGCCTTCCGGAGGGATTGGGACCCACTCAAGACCACCTCCTTCAAGGAGAAGCCCCTTCCATACACTCCATTACAGCCCCTCCCTTGGGAGGCAAGGGAAAGAGCAATGGCCCCTGCACTGTGGAACCATCTTGGGCGCCCACCTGGATGTCTTCTGAAAGCAAGTTAAAACTGAATATTGCAGAGAGTTTGGGGGAGTAAGAAAAGCAGGCACCTTCCCTTATTAGAGATTCATGATTCATTAGAGTGGGTATTTTAACAGCTCGTGTTTCTTCTGCTTTTATGTTTAGACTGTCAGCTGCCAGGAGTGCCAGTGATGCCAGCAGTAGGGGGAAATGGCAGATAAGCCAACCGATCCCAGTGAAGTGGGCTGAAATGGATTGGGAGATCGGCTTCAACCAGGAATGCTCCAATTTGTCCTTCAAATACCTTGGCCACAAATGCTAGATGTCAGCTTAGAATTAGTAAAAAGGGAGGGACCTTGTGACAGCTTCCTGAGAAGGGGGAGCACCACCACCTCCTTCAAGGTTGACAGAAGCTCCCTCCAACTAATGGCGGCATCAGTCACAGCGAACAGCCTCTCCCTCGACCAGTCTCTCCTGACCAAGAGGGAACTGGATGCACTAGTTAAGCGTTAAGTCGAAACTGATCCAGCAATACAAGCTGGCCTCTGCTCAAAAAACGGCGATCCTGGAGAAGCCTTCCCTGGAAGCAGCCAAGTTCATCAACACTGCCATGTCTTCAACCTTCCCTTTCTAGAAGGGAAGCCCCTGAGAAGATGGGATGAATCCAGATCCCTCCCAGCCAGGGCTCCAGTCTGGGCACGGGGCAGAGAGGCTGTTCGCCCTGGATGAGGGTCTTTGCTGGGGGCTGGATGTAGAAACCTTGACCTGAGGGGCATCTGTGCTAAAGCAGCTGAATAGATGAGGGGATCTCATGTCACCTTTTACACACCGGATTTTGTGCCAACGACTGGGAGCCCATTCAGACTCAGCAGGGTCCCGTTTCAAAATACCAACCTGACAAGCCAACGCGTGGCTTGCCTGATGCCACCCCAGGGATCTGCTTCCCCAGAGAACAGAATGGCAACCTATTAAGAGTTTGCAGCGCTCCAATGAAAGGAGACAAAATACAGGCCGGCTGCCCACAGAAGAAAAATAGCGCCCAGAGCGAATAAGCCTGCCGTCTGTGAAACTGAGAAAGAAAAGGCTGCTGGCGTGGCTAGAGAACAAGGTTTGGCCATTTTCCAGAACGGGTGAGCAGCAAGGTCCGTCCGACGTGCAAACTGCTACTCCAGAGAGCCCCAAAGGCTTGATTAATGAGAGAAGATACATTTCCTGCATTTCATTTCATTTCGCCCGCGTGCGTACTGCCTTTGAGCCAGTGTGGACTCCTGGCGACCGCCTGGACAAGCCCCTGCGGTTTTCTTGGCAAGGATTTTCAGAAGTGCTTTGCCCTTGCCTCCTTCTCCCTAGGGCTAAAGGGAGTGACTGGCCCAGGGTCACCCAGCTGGCTTCGCGCCTAGGGAACCGGGACTAGAACTCGTGGTCTCCCGGTTTCTGGCCTGGTACCTTAAATACACGTATTTTGCCCAACCTTTTTGGGGTTGTTTGGTTTGGTGCTTCTCTCTTCTGGGTGTCTGTGACTCGTTTCTTAGTTTACTGTTCTTGCTTTTAAAGCGTCAGCCCCCCAGAATGACTTAGAAGCGGGTGGCCTCTGAATTAAAAAAATACATCTTCCCATTAAAATATATGAAAACAGGGCAAAGAGAGGGAAGAACTAGCAACAGCAAAGTGCCACAGCAAATGAGGCCTGTATAAAATTTGCTAAA